GAAACTAGATACTGAAAGGGTTGGGGACCAAGGGCCTTAGTCAAAATATCTGCCACTTTCTCTTTGGAAGTTACATGGTTGAGATGAACAATGCCATTTGCAATTTTCTCTCGAATAAGGTGGCAGTCAATCTCTATGTGTTTTGTTCGCTCATGGAAGATTGGATTGTAAGCAATGGCAATGGCTGACCTGCTATCCGAAAAAATAGACACTGGAAAATTGTGTGAGATTTTTAAGTCAGAAAGTAAGTACAGAAGCCATTGAGCTTCACATGATGCTGAAGCTAAGGCTCTATACTCACTTTCTGCAGAGGACCGGCTAATGGTGGTTTGTTTCTTGGATTTCCAGGAAACTAAAGAATCTCCAAAAAAAACATAAAACCAGTTATGCTTTTTCTGGAATCAATGCAACCAGCCCAATCACTATCACAAAAACAATGTAAAGATAGAGAAGAATTTCTGGGAAATAAAATACCTTGCCCAACAGTATTTTTGATATACCTCAGAACTCTGTGTGTTGCAGCTAAGTGAACCTCTGTGGGATTGCTCATGTGTTGACTTAGGGCCTGCACACTATAAGAAATATCTGGTCTTGTGATGGTTAGATATAATAACCTGCCAATCAACCTTCTATATGAGGTAGGATCTATGGACTTGATTCCATTGGCAGGTACAGAGGTTAGTTTCAGATTATTATCCATAGGTGTAGTGGCAGGTTTGCCAGCTAAAAAACCAGAATCAGACAGTATGTCTAAGGCATATTTTCTTTGACATAGGTTTATGCCTTTTTCAGAATGAGCAACCTCAATTCCTATGATATACTTTAGTTGGCCAAGATCCTTGATAGTAAAACAATCATCTAAATGATTTTTGATAGCAGTAATTTGGCTTAGATCATCACCAGTCAATATAATATCATCCACATATATAAGTAAAGCCAGAAAATGATTATCAGCTTGTAATGTGAATAATGAGCAATCGGAGACAGACTGACTAAAGCCATAATGCAACAGACATGTGGTCAATTTTTGAAACCATTGTCTAGAGGCTTGTTTAAGGCCATAAAGACTCTTGGTTAGTTTACAGACCCAAGATTCATGCAGAGAATCAGATAAATAACCAGGGGCTGGGGTCATGTAAACTTCCTCATGCAAGTCACCATGCAAGAATGCATTGTTGACATCTAGTTGATGCACATGCCAATGCTTTATGGATGCAACAGCAAGAAGTAGTCTCACAATGGTTATCTTAGCAACAAGGGATAAGGTTACCTTCTTCCTGTGTGTAACCCTTTGCTACTAACCTTGCTTTATACCTTTCTATAGATCCATCTGACTTATATTTTATTTTAAAAACCCATTTGCACCCTATGGTGTGTTTACCAGGGGGCAAATCTGTTAGGACCCATGTTTTAGTTTTCTCAAGTGCTTGTAATTCTTTGTTCATGGCTTCTTGCCAAAGTGGGTCCTTAACAGCTTGTTTGTAAGTTTTGGGTTCAGTCAGAGTGGATATTGATGCAGTAAAACATGCATGGGATGATGATAATTGTGATGTAGACAGATGATGTTCAATGGGATATTTTATAGTGTTATGGGATGTTCCAAAAATGTCATCATGATCCACACTGAAAACAAGATTAGTGGATGAAGGAAGAGAATGCTTATACACATTAAGATAAGGGGGTATAGTTCTTTTTCTGGATGACCTTCTTGATGTAGAGGTGTCAGAAGGTTGTTGACTATTTGTAGTATCAGGTTGGTTGGATGCGGGAGTTGGTAGATTGTCAGTAGAAGGTGATGGATTGTTTGTAAGAATTGGTTGGTTGACTATGTGAGTAGGAGATG